ACAACGAATGTTAACTTCAACAATACTTTCTGACTGCAGTTCAATTACTCACTACCTACACACATTGTCACGTTACGCCGTGACCATCTTATATATATACCAGTCCACCCCCAATCTAGCAAATGCTAGAGCACTCCTGAAGGAACAGGATAGTTTTAGAAAACGGGTGGCGTGACACTAGTCACGTGACCTCGCTGACGCAACACTGCTCCCTCCTTAGTATTGTTCGTCCCGAACAATAGCCACATACAATAAACCAATAACAATTAACAATACCTTAATTAAGTGTACAGAATTACAATCACAAAATTACAATTCAACAAAGTCTCTTAATTTTACGGGACGTATCTTCTTCCGTACTGGTCTCCGTCTCGTTGGCTTCTGATTCATATTGGGTTCATCTGCTTCATCAGGAAATGTCCTATCGTCAATAACAGTCACATCAGTGGTAGTAACTTCATCAAGAGCTTCACCGTTTCCCTTCTCAAAACTGAGTACAGTTTCTTCTTCGACGATGGCTTCTTCAGGTGGCACATCTTCAGCAGCGTCATTTGTTCTGTTGTCCACTTCATCCCAACAGAAATGTCCTGGACCATGATAACGCCAAAGCCTGTTGGCATGCACCACTTTTGGTTTACCTCGCCGACCACATTTTATCTGGAAAGTCACGTCTTAGAGACGATCCACTATGTCATATCATAGGAAATGTCCTATCATCAATAACAGTCACATCAGTGGTAGTAACTTCATCAAGAGCTTCACCGTTTCCCTTCTCAAAACTGAGTACAGTTTCTTCTTCGACGATGGCTTCTTCAGGTGGCACATCTTCAGCAGCGTCATTTGTTCTGTTGTCCACTTCATCCCAACAGAAATGTCCTGGACCGTGATAATGCCAAAGCCTGTTGGCATGCACCACTTTTGGTTTACCTCGCCGACCACATTTTATCTGGAAAGTCACGTCTTAGAAACGATCCACTATGTCATATGGGCCTTCCCAAGGAGAAGACAACTTACAAAACTTCCCTTTGGTCTTCCTTGGATTATACAACCACACTTTGTCTCCTGGTTCAAAGTTGACTTCACTAGATCTCTTATCATAAGTTAACTTCATCGAATCAGCAGATGTTTTCAAGTTTGAATGCACTTGATGGTGGATATCATCCATCCTTTCCAATAACACCTCCACAAACTCTGACACATTCTCAGGCAACTCTTCATAAGGTGGGCATCCTTTATGCTTGGGTCTTCTTTTAGCACTACATGTACTACATGTCCGGCACCATTCTTCCACATCTCGCCTCACACCTATCCAGTAAAATCTTTGTCGTAGGTGACTCAATGTCTTCTTAATTCCGTGATGTTCTCCTGTTAAATTATCATGGGATTGACGCAGCACAACTTCCCGTAACTTCCTCAGTATAACTGTTTGCTAAGTCGTCACTTTCCCATCTGTAGTTTCCCATCTCCGTACAAGAATACCATTTTCAAGCTTCAACTGGTCTCATTGTGCCCAATAGTTTTTAGTCACAGGGCTTAGACCAGACACCTTCTCCCAAGCAGGGTGCAAAACACTTGCTTTTAGAAAATCAATCACTGGCTTCAAAGCTAGGTCTTTCTCCAGTT